AACACCAAAATATAGGGAGAAATTCAAAAATAGCTAAAGTTTCAAAAGTCATCGAAATTTAGTCACTTTTCATGCAAAAATAAAAACGAAAACACTGTTCAAAATCCGGAAAACACTCTAGTATAATATACTGGAGTTTGGAGTTCCAGTATACTTTGTTGGAACTCCAGTATAATATACTGGAGTTCCAGCAAAGTAATATACTGGAGTTCCAGCAAAGTATACTGGAACTCCAGTATATTATATTGGAGCCAGCAAAGTATACCGATCCAGCATAATATGCCGGAAGTTCATACACATGTGCATCGAACTCCAGTAAATTATGATGGACCGGTCTCTATTGCAGCAAAATAGTAGATATTTTTCAATGACTTGGCAAACGCTGGCTATTTTTGAATGACCAGTCCGAAAACTGACTAGCCCGTACTATTTTAACCAAAATATAGGCTGCTGCGTCATTTACTAGAAATGACGAGACACATGAAATAATACAAATAATCATTTTCATCTTTTTGTTGAATTTTACTATTTGTCCCTGATAAAAAAAATTACAATTATCAAGTAACTAAGGAGATAAATGTGATATCTGAATGACATGAGAGATAAGTTTGAAAAACCTACTAGCCGTTCAAATTTGAAAAAATTTAGAGGGTTTTTTGCAAGAATTTAACTTCTAAAACTAATAATATAAAAGAAATATTTACAAATTTACACTATCAGATCACCTTAAAGATAATTAAAGTAAATATTCATAATAATTGGAACTAGTAATTAAAAAATTAGCCAAATAACCTTTTATAATAGGTTAAATTACGGGAATTATCACTTTTAGCCCGCGCCAGAAACTATTTACATCTGGTAGCCGAAAAAGTGTATATAATTTATATAATTTTGTATATAACATACATAATGTATGTGTGTGTGTATATATATATATACACACATATATACAAATTTTATACATTTTTCGACTATTATCTTTATAGCGGCTATAAAGCATCAGTTTTCTTAAATTAATTACACTAATTAAAAATTTTATTACATCATCTGTGATATAAAGCAAATCCTTTATACAATGTCAATTAGTACCCCACACCAAAAAAATAACACCAAAAGAGCTTTAATGGAGATTCTCTCCTTTTTTTTCCACCATTTCCATTTCTTTTCCGTTTCTATCTTTTTCCTTATTTTACGTACTAGATTTGTCCGTACTCCATCCTTTTGGAAAAGCAAGTACTCCATCATTATCCCACTTGTTTATCGCATTGAATATTATCTGGCGTTAATAATGATTTAATGATGCAAATGATATGCTTAATTACTTATTTGATGAAGAAAAGCCTCCCTTGCTTAGTGCGAATATTTGCTGTTTAATCATTTTTTTATAATTTAGGGGTATTATTACTTTTAGCCCGCGATAGAAATTATTTATATTTAGCAGCCGAAAAAGTGTATAAAATCTGTATAACTTTTGTATATAACATACAAACTATATATATACAAAAAAAAATGTTTTTTCGGTTATTATCTTGAGAGCGGCTATACAGTATCATTTTCCCTATAATTTACATCTATCAAAAACCTCAATAAAGTTGGGAAGGCAACCCAAATCAGGGAAACAAAATGAGTAAATATTTAGTGAAGTCCTATACAATTCGCAAAAAGGGTGTCCATTATCCAATTAATGTACAAATTTGTTAATGTCAAGTCTCTATAAATGTATGGAAATGGAAAGGTGACAACAAAAGACAAAGCAAAAAGGGTCCAAAGGTACTACCACTATCGCTTTGCTCACCTTATGAAAGAAGCTTTAGCAAGAAAGTAGAAAAGAGCCCTTCTAATAATCCCTGGGTATTCAAAATTTACTGGGTTCATTAATTTATATTTATAGGAGGAATCGCTTCCTATTAGGAGCTTCTCTATTCCTAGGACTCGAACCAGAAATCCTAAGGGATCCAATCTGTCCACGACACATAGTGAAGTGGAAAAGAGGAATCTTGATCATTTTCCTCCCTGTTGGGGGGAGGGGAGAGGGGGGTTGCAGGGGTAGGGTGGGGGTAGATTTTGCTTTCATTTTCAAATGAAAAGTAGGAAGTTGTAACCCCATATTGCCATTGGACATCTTTATATTTGATGTCGTAGATGTATCGATTGGCCTATTTTTGCCAATGATTTTGATTCCTCCATATATGCATGCAATGTGCCAACAGCCATAAATAATTTTGGATTCCAGATGTCACTTGTCACTATATGCACTTCCAGCCTAACATCAGATGCTTTTGCTTCCTACTTAACCTGCACATACCAAATTACATGCATTGTATTTGTACCTACATCAACAAGAAGACTCATTTCATAATTGTTCATTCCTCAATTTTTTGGTTTTTGACAGAAACAAAGAACCACCACAATTATGAAATTCTGGACCAATGGTATCACTCATTCGCCTAAATATCAGATTTTTGCAAAGTTGATGCTACTCCCTCCTAGAATGAACATGCAGAAAGACACATCAAATTACATCCGATGCCATAATCTTCTGGAAATGGTTCAATGTACTTCCATATCAATGCTGAAAGCAAGTCATGGGTTTGAAACTATTCAAACCTTCGGAAAGTTGCTATCTTCATAAAACATAAATATTGACACATATGATGTCCTTCGACATAGCACTCAAGAAGAAATTCAAAACTTGAAGATTAATGAAGCTCATCTGAAAGGTTCACTTACATTGCCACTAAGAAACACGACTTTACACCTGCCAATCAGAACCTAGCAAATAGTGCCCCTTTTCTTGTCAAAGGGCACAAACTGGAGAGCCATGTTTTCTCAGTCATACAGATGGAGTAGCAAACCAAGCATCCAAAACTCTTCGTGTGTGTTGATTTAACCAATATGGAGCACTTTCATTATCAAACATGGCCTCAAGTAATAATGAAACCTAATCAGACAATTGTCAAGCTGATAGCAAGTGCCTAAAGCTTAGCCCAAAACATGTACCTTGCCTATTTATACAAACTTATCATAAATTGTAGGAGGGCTACATTTTAGTCCAGGGTTTGATCACTAGGAACATTTAACAACATAGCTCTTTGAAGTCCCAATGCTGCTAAAATAAATGCATGAAACATTGACATTGGTTTCATCAAGGAGAGAGTTACTTGATCTCATAGAATCCTAGTACATACAAGAAGAAATTACATTCCTAACAATCAGAATTCGTCATGTAATACATATTGCCACATCCTTATCATACCTACTTTGTCCGTGGATGCTTAATGCTGACGAGGAGTCAACTTCAAGATCAATGTTGACGACAAATGAAAAAAAGCCCAGACCAACACAAATTTCAACCTTCTCTTCTTATTAGCCAAAGCTCCAAATAGTCAAGTCTAAGCCTTGAGATCACAGCACTATATACAATAATACACACCATGTATCAAGTTGCTAACACTGAAGAGGATCAAGGTTCTAACCGAAAAGGAGGTTTCTTTCCATGACCTTCTACCTTGCAGTAAATCCACATCCTCTTGTCAATCTTTATTAGTCCAGAGGCTATTCTGCATGGAAAAAATGATTCATTATGCATAATACAAAGAGTAAAATAATGATCAGCTCTGAGTCCTTTTTTTTTCTTGATATAACCAAGTAGATATCAAGAGCAGTAACAGTACATCAAATAAACCTGGCATGTCATACATGACAGAGAAGAGGGAAAATAGTAAAACGCCCAGTAACAAAAGAAGATTACAGATACTACCCATTTCCTATTACTTCTTCAATTGCCTTGCTCGCACGGAAAATTATAGTTCCACACAGTACCAATGTTTCATTTCATAACTCCAAATTTAGGATTGGAAAATTAGCCTGTGAGGGAACATCAGCCCACAGGAATCATTCAATCACAACAGAATATAGATCGAATAAGCATAAGAAGATCGAAGGACTTGACATATTTCCTGATATAGAAACCCAAAATAACTTTACAATTTCCGATAGTGCTCTTCCAGTAGCTTTTCAATTTCCAATAGTGTCTATAACAATCAAAAAAAATCCAGATAGTGTGCTTCCAGGCGAAGCAAAACATGTGATCAACATCAAGCAGCATATGTCATAAATAAAATAAAGTCTAAAATAATTAATTGCACGCGAACATATGATCATCACACAAACTGGTTTAAGGTGAAAACTTAGAATGGTGCAGTGATTGAACAGGAAGCTCGTTTTTTGATAAAAGTCTCATCTTTCATCTAATGCAAGTCGCTCTAAATTCAGATATTGAATACTCTTCAAACATGTCCTTTTTAGCCTTTCTACACATAAATACAAAACCTTAGAAGTTCTCTATTTTCAAAAGCCAGAGTGCTGAATATCGGAATACTTTGGGAGAAAGATATTTCAAAAATCCATCGGTAGTAGTCATTAGTAGTTTGTACTTGACTTCCAGATTGGTCTTCAGCTGGTCCACTTCATTTACTTGCTTAAAAACAGCTTTTTCAGAGGATTCAATGACACATAACTGATAATTAATATTATGCACACACATACATAAAACAACTGCATACAAAAATTATCCCAAATGAAGGACATGATGATGTACTACTTGAGTTCAATGTGCCAAAATAATAATAAAATAAACACAGAACTACAATTATACCTCCACATTTGGCATATCATTTGATTGCTTGTGATGCTTTTCTTGTTTACTGATGTCACCCATGCTCCAGCATGGTTTAGCAATTTCCGTCCTTTTCAACTAACCTTGGCCAGTTTCATCTCTATTCACCAGAGCACATTCAGAACATCATAGGCAAAAGTTTACATCTTATGCTCATCTTAGGACACAGAGACATTGTCAAGGACAGTGAATCTAAGATACTTCCATGATCACATATCCAACTGATTGGAAGGAGTTTGAGGCGGACCCAAGCACCACCAACACATATTTCCTCCATCTTTTTGCTGGATGAAGATGAATCTCTAACCGCAAGCTTCTCCATTAATGTTAAAAAGCACCAAGATAGACTTTCCTTTACTCTGTTACATTGTGAATGTTGATCCAGGTTTTTTCTGTGTGAATCTATTTCTAGGGACTTCGATCGATGGAAAGAAAAATTTAAACTTATTAATACTACTCCTCTGGTCCTTTTTATTTGTCACTAAGCCAAAAAAAAAATTATTTCAAATAATTTGTCATTATACAAATTAAAAAGGCATACAGTCATTACTACTGCTTCCGGTCCATTTTCAATTCCACTGTTACTACTCCAAGAAGACATATAGTCATTAATTACTTGTTTAAGGAAGAGATTAGGGTACTTTAATAAAATATCACTGATGATTAATGTTATATAGTGGTTTTTTCAATAGGTGTGTCAAAAAATTAAACAACAAAGAACAAGAACCAGAGGGAGTATAAGATAGTTCTACTTGGCTTCCATGAGAAGAAAACTTGATTCGACATCCAAAAGAGGCAGGAATATCTGTTAGCCATGCAGATGTTTCTCCTTTATTGCTGCCTGCTTTTTCCAAGGTGGACTATTCAGAAAAGGAAAACAAAGCTTGAAATAAATAAACCAACACCGCCAGACCGCACTCATGAATGCACACAAATGTTCGACCCATCTGACCAGCCATGACTTCGACTGAACAGTCTCACTATGATGATGAAATGGCAACATTAGCGCATGCCATAAAGTTCTTCAATTAATGGGATATGTCAGGACATGAACTTCTGATATTTCACAATTGTAAGTAAAGGAACTCTCCAAATTTTCAACTGCGAAATCTGAGGACACTATAAATTATTGAACCACATGCACATTTCAGCCGGCTACCTTTATTGCACCAATCTCATCAATATTTGAGCTCTTGTGCCTCAACATTTCAGGATGTAAGATGATGGAGCTATTAGTAAAAGGTGAATGTATGTGTAGGGATCAGACCGCACATGCAATGAGTTTGGATCACAATTTAAAGTTTGCAGATATACTTTTTTTTTAATAAACAAGGTTGCAGTATAGTAAAGAAAATAATATAACTCAATATTTTTGAGTTTACCTTGCTTTTCTTGTGTTTGTGGACACCGTTAAGATCCTCATCATCATGCTTCCTTTTCTGAAACCATTTTAAGAAAAAAGATCAAAATCAATGAGTTCGTAATCACTTTTAATACTGTGAAGAGTGACTTTTCGATTGCCAAATTCCAAAATGTTTCAAATAAGAGTTGAAGCCAGCAACAGTGATTTTTACGATGCAACTCAATAGCAAAGCACCAGTAGGGCAAGAACTTCGAAAAATAAAAACAAAGTAGAATCAAATTCTCACACAGAAAAATTACAAAGTCCGCATATTATTAATTAGATTGAACATAATTCAAACATGACACTATTTTACAGTAATGGATCAAACTTGTGCCAGTGGATCAGAATCCTAGTTCCGTCAGCTTTAAAAGATTCTATCCACTTAAGAAAATGTTGGCTTTACTTTGAACTGGTCTTCTAAACTTCTGAATATAAAACCAAGAAAATGCTCACAGTAACAGCGTTCCATGAGAATCATCATTTTTGAGCCAAAATCATTAGAAGTTAGATAGCAGCAGACCTTCTCATGTTTCTTCGAATGCTCAGCACCAGGATCATGGTGCCCACTTTTATCTTTCTTTTTCTCTTTACTCCGATCTTTATGACGATGTTTGTGCTTATTATGCTCTTTGTCCTTCTCCTTGTCTTTATCCTTGTGCTTTTTATGCTTCTTCTCCTTGTCTTTCATCTCACTTTTAGATTTTCCAGCTATAGTAGGGATGCCTTTCTCAGACTATCAAACACCATGAAAGACCTTTTAATCAGCAACTAGTGTAACAGGCAAAACACTAACATTTCAGCGCAAAATTTGAGGGAAACCCAGTTTAAATCTCCAACTTCAGAAATCTTGAAGGAATAAGAGGGTCACTTTTCCTTTTCTTTTTTTGTTTTTGGGAATAGGGTAAAGGAATAAGAGGGTTGCGTAGAAGAAGCTGAGCAAATGGAGTTAAATCACTAAAGTTCAAAAGCAGGTATCTTACAGGAGACAAATCGACTGGAGCCGTTTCACGTAGTAGGAAGGCTTCTCTAAGGACATCTAAGTCAAAGGGCCGGATGCATGATTTTGTCTCTTTCGAAAAGGAAGTGTCCTGTGTGAGCTGATCCAACTGCATCCCCTCCCCTTTCCTAATTTCTCTGTCTCCAACCACATTGTGAAGATAACGTGTATCTGAAATCGATAACGGAAGTGACCTCTTGCAGAAGAACTCGTAATGAGGCAACAACTTGAAATGACTAATAAGGTCACGAGCACCTGTAAGTTCTCTTGGCCCTAACAATATATTTGGACCAAATCAACAACAGTTATAAACTATAGATATCTTTAATAAACACAAACACAACTTTAAAGAGAAGAGCAAGTGCCTGAAATTTGATGGTTTCTTTTAGCCTTATACAGAATATCAAGAGATTAGTCTAAGGAATTTTAGGAACCAACTATATCTATGGAGGAATATGCAACAAAAAAACACCACCAAGGTTGAAAATGCAATCTGCAGTCTGTTGGTAACACAACAGTAAAGCCTGCCAGTACACTCTATAGGCAATACTATACATTCCTCTACTATCTAGATTATGTTCATTTGTTTTTTGTGATAATTGTGGTGTCCGTGCCAGCTTGCACGCACCTCGACCAATTCCAAGGGATAGCTGTCACCTCCCACCTCCCACCAGCAATAGGTACTAGGTACCTTTGTCTACTAGGCTTGGACAGATGGGAAGAAATCACCTAATGTTTTGCCTCCATTGGGATTTGAATTTGAGACATCATGGTTCTCAACCACTTTATTGACCACTATGTTGACACCTTACAACAAGAACAACAATCCCAGTATTTTCCCACAAGTAGGGTCTGGGGAGGGTGAGATGTACGCAACCTTACCCCTACCCTAGAAGGGCGGAGTCATTTGACACCTTGAATATGTAAAAAATCAACTAATGGTGAGTATTTTTTCTCTTTTATTAGGCTTTGCCTCACAAGCTTAGGTATAAACGCTTCCCGTCTATAAATTCTTAAGAACCTTAAATTTGAACTGACTACTTTGCCCTAAAAGTCAAAGTCCTAGAGCATTATTCGAACAACTAACACCATCCAAATCTGCAGGAAAACGCATCAGGACCATATTTCTTTCTGGACTGGAACACATTTGCAAAACTCAAATAACCACTCCACAAGTAGATCGCAAAGACTAGTCAACCTTTATGACTAAATAGATGCAAGCAACTGTATCATTGTAAGCAGAAGAAGTCAGCATTGAGTTGGCCAGTAAAACAATAATTTTACTTCCTTAAAGTAACTAAGAGAAATAAGACTACGAAACCCACAGCAAATTAATCGGCCAACAGGAGCTTGACGGAGAATATTAATCAATGAAATACATTCACCTTAAATCAAAATTCAAAACCTAGGGATGCAATAGAGACACAAAAGGTCAATGGTCTGCAGTACAACACTGCAAGAGTCTCACCTCTTCCAAAGTTCTTGCTATCTGAATCCATCAATTAGCACCCAGTACATGAGTAGAGCATTAGTTCCTGGAAAGTATCGGTAGGTAAGACAAGGTCCAGAAATATATAGCGCAGCAAAGGTCAATCTACTCAAAGTAGAATGCAAACAAAAAGGCACTGGAGAAGGAGAACTGGAAATGTAACCATGATACCACCATCGTGAAAATGAAATAGAAATAGAGCTCATAAAACTTGTCATTATCTTTTTCTGGAAAAGCTACTTTATTTATCAAACAAGAATACCAAGAATAAAAGAAAAAACGGTACCAAAAGCGACACTAAATCAAGAAAAAAAAGACAGCATTTATCTTCTCACATAAGGAGAAAACTTAGTACATGGGCTGACAGAGAGCTCGATTCATATTCCCTCTCTTTACCTCTACTCTCCAGTGGATGGGGGTGTTCTAAAGGGACCATTGCACAGAAACATCAGAGTTCAGAAAGAAAATTGAAGTAAATAATAAGGAAATATAAAACGGACTCGGACTAGTCCTACGATACAACATTTAGAATTTCTCACAAAAAATAGTGCATAATGACGTCCAATGTTATCTACGGCCCTAAGAACAATATATCCGTATAAATAGTGTATGATCAGCTTAAAGACTAGTTTTTTTCCAAACAGTTACTTCACAAATGCAACATAAACAAAAATTTCGACCTCTCACCATTGCCAATGACAAGACTGAAAAATAAAAATGAAAAAAAAATAACCAAAACTCAACTTACAGTAAAGAAAATATAAATTAACAACACCAGCAACAATAAACACCCAGAGAAAGTAATAACAAAACATTATAAACTCAATAAACTTGTATATGACATTTTGAACTCCAACTACCAGTTAAAGCAACTAACTTCAGTTAACACAAAATATAAAACCAAAAACAATCAATTGTACTCAAAATTTTCGTAATTTCACACATTTGCGTATCAATCGAATATCTTGATCCCGGAATTTAAAGAGTAATATCATTATACAGAGAATTCAAATTCTTAACTATGAGGTCGAGCTTAGTCGATCAAACGGAGAGAAATCCAATAGGTAAATTATGCTCCTGCGGAGCACGAATCTCGTTTGCTCTCCAATTGAAAATGCTCCAGAAGCAATAATCAAATTTAGAGATTAAATTTGGGATTATGGCTTGGCAATTAACCGTGGGCTTCGTCTAATTTGAACTGGAATTGAACCCTAATTTTGCTATTTTTCGCAGAATTGAAAAACTATTGGCTCAGCACAGGAGAAAATGGATCCTTTTACTGCGTGTTATTATCGAAATATCGTAATATTTTGTACGGATTATTAGTTTCTGCCTTTCTGGCGATGTCGTGACTGTGTTTCCTATTTGTGTTATATTGACGTTATATGCCCCTGTCTTGGACAGGTAATTTAAGGATCTTTCCGTCATTTCATATACAATTAATAAATCGTACTCCCTCCGGTCCAAAATAATGATTTTTTAGCCTTTTTCTTGTGGTCCAAAATAAGTGATTTTTTCAGATTTCAAGAATGAATTAATTATTTTTTTCCTACATTGTCCTTGGAGTAAATAGTGTTGGAATATGTGTTAGGAGTGTTTATGTGAGATAGTAAAGGTTAATATGGTCAATTCTATTACTAACTAATGTTAAAAGGTGAATTTCTTAATCTGTGTGAAAATATCCAAAAAATCACTTATTTTGGACCGGAGGGAGTATAAGATGTGCAAATTTATAAGCCGCGTATATGAATGCGATGTATAAACGCATTTCACGATAGTTAGTTAACGTCGCGTTTTCCAACGGACGACAATTAGGATTTGTATATTGCATTGAGGAAATGACGGACTACATAAACAACCTGTTGTTTTTATTTCACAATCTTCAAATTGTTAGAGAAACTTAAGTTTTAAAAAAGTTATTCAAACATGTTGGAATCACAATATCCAAATTAATTTTTGAAAATATATCTCAATTTTATGATCGCCTTTCATATAACATATTAATAATTGTTGGATTATGGGTCATGGGTCGCTCCATGTGGGCTGACCCAACCCGGTTAGGAGAGATAAGGGAGAGAGGTTAAGAGAAGTTACTATTAGACCACAAACACCCACTAAACTGAACGTGCAAAAAGGGGTGAGTGGTGGGTTATCTTCCTTAACCGCTATTACTGTGCCTATTTATGTGAAGGAGAAAAAATATAGAAAAAAACACCGTAAGAACTTCTCTCTGACTCTCTTCTTCTCCCAATGGAAAACACACACAAGTAAGGGCATCTAATTGGTAGAAGATTAACTTTGTTTCCTAGTGATTCAAAGTTCGGTTTGGGGCAATTATTTCGGTGGTGAATTCAACAATTCTTCCGCTGCGTTGACAGGTACGCTAATATTGTCCTCGCCCCGCGATTATTAATCTAACAATGGCATCAGAGCAATCGTTGTGTGTTCTATTATTTTGAATACACGGTACTTAAAAAAAGGTTAAAACAGTTCAATTTCTTTTGTTGCTTTGGCAGAAAACTATTTACTGTTTTGTTGATAATTGCCATATGGATTAGAAATCTCATGTCGTCAANGAGGCTCATCTCAGTTTATATTTAAAGGCTGATTCAAGGCAACTACAATTTTTCTACGTAAGTTGTCTACTAGAATAACGAAAAAAGTCCTAATTAGCTAATAATGTTTAGGAATTACTACATCTGGGCCCATGGACTTAACGAATTCAGAAGAGCCATTTTGGGACCTTGAAAACAGCCCATGTGAAGAAATCATTATGCTTCTGGCTTGTGTGAATAATTGAATTTGTGGATTGATGTGTCATGAATTGATTAAAGTAATTTATTTTTTATATGGATACATCATAACAGAAGTATAGAGACGTGAAATCATTGTAAGGATCATTACTATGAATGTTGCAGTGTGAATGTGGTTATAATTTCTTGAACTGTAAATTCAAAGTGTGCCAATAAAGAATGCAAAAACCTTTGGAGAATGGGGATATCTTCCCATTTAATTTTTGACCCCTTATTCAACTGAGTTGGTGACTTGTTCTTTTATTATTTAACCAACCAGTAGAGTAAATTAGTTACTCCTTAGATATATTGACATAAAATAAAATTGATCTTAAAACCTATCATTGTCTGCTTTAGTGAATTAAAATTAATTTTGTCCTAATCCCTCATTATCCTTCTATAAGTAATTGTGATATATGTTGTCACATTGAATGGTTGTAGCCATTCTTATTGTTTCCTTGGTCCTATTTCAGATATGGCTGAACAGGGACAAGTTCGAATTACTCCAAGTGGGAGTTCTCGAAGTCAAGGAAGGGGACAACGTAGAAGGGTACGTCATCGCAGGACTTATTTCTATAATGATTCAGACTCAGAGCCTGAAGTCATCAGGAATGTCCCAAGGGCGAGGCAAAATGCGTTAAGGGATCGAAGGGCTGAACGAAGGGAAAGAGAAAAGAAATTTAGGGAGTTTAAGGAATATAAAATGGGCCCTGATGTTTCCGTTCCTGAACATGTACACCTTTTTAAGATAAAAAGAGTTGAATTGGCTAATTACGTAGAAATTACTGATTGGGAAGCATTAGCTATTTTAATGGATTTCTCTTCGAGAGCCTTGGGGTGAAATTTTAACTGAGATTTATCATGATGTTTGGCCTAGTGCACCTTTTAGCGTATATGAGCAAGAGTTAGTGTTCGATTAGTATATGGATGTCCTAGCAAACATGTAAATTATTTATGTGTTTTATCTTAATGAAATTTATATTGTGTTATTTGTCTCACCAGTTACATACATTGTTTATTATATTTTTTTTTGTAATGGATTGAGACTTGAAATAAATTACACATTAAGAAGTGATTTTAATATTAATTAAAATATTTAGATATAGATGATGAATGGAAATGCAGTGACCGTTCGATTCTATACTAAATGTAGAATTAATATTATAATTAATTTACTTGAGTGTGTAATCACATGCATAAATTAACTGAAGTATATATTGATGAGTTAAACTTGTAAAATTGTCTCTAATAACATACATGACATCAAAAAGTATCATTGCCGACTTGAACAAGGGTGACAAACTGAATGGTGAAAACTACGATATCTGGAGTCGTAAGATGTGGTATGTACTCGAAGAGCAAGATGCTCTTGAAAGTATTAACCATGTTATGAGTCACCCAGAGGAGAGTAACAATGCCCAACACATGAGGGATCTGGAAACTTACAATGTTTGGAAAAAGAAAGATTCCACTGCACGTGGAATTATTGAAAGTTCAGTTGCTGATGATCTCATCCACGAATGTGAGCAATATCCTACTGCTCAAGCCATGTGGGCACATTTAAGAGAGGCATATGGGGGTACGACTGTGACTCGCCTTCGACAGTTGACAATCAAGTTTGACACGTACAAAAAACGTCATGATCACGGTGTTAAGCAACATCTAAGGGTGATGTCAAATATGATTGCTCAACTCAAAAGTGCTGGTCATGTTATCTCTGATGAGCAGCAGGTTCAGGCAGTGATTCGGTCTCTTCCCAATAATTGGGAACATTTGAAGGTTAATTTGACCCACAATGATAGCATCAAAACTTTTACTGATGTTGCCCGTCATGTGGAGCTTGAAGACGAGCGGCTTGGTGCTGCTAAAGCTGTACCTAATGCCTTTGTGGCAGAATCAAGTGGTACAAAGAAATCAAGTTTCAAGCGTAAGAGAAACTGGAAAATGACGGAAAGGGTAAGGAGACTGGAGAAGGACCCTCCAAGAAAAGTAACAAGCCAAATTTCAAGAAAGGAAAACGGTTCTACAAGAAGAAAGACAAGAGCAAGATGAAGTGTTACAATTGCCAAGTCCTAGGGCATTTTGCTCGTGAGTGCACTGAGCCGAAAAAGGTAGCATTTCCAAGCGCATCTCTTAGTGCTATATATGTTTCTAGCACTGTTTTACTAACTGAATCATATCCTGTGTGGATTGTAGACTCAGGGGCCACCGACCATGTGAGTCGAGATAGAGAAGCGTTTATAAAGTTTCGTCGAGTTCCACCTGGATCAAAGCATGTATATGTGGGAAACAATGCAAAGCTTGAAGTCAAAGGGATAGGCACTTGCAGAATGGACATGCGTGGCGGCCGATCTTTGATGTTGCATGACGTCCTATATGTTCCAGAGATTCGACGAAATTTAGTATCTGTGTCTGTTCTTCTAGATTTAGATTTCAATTTGAACCTTAGTCGCAGTGGTCTTAGAATTACTCAAGACAATGTTTTTTATGGTTTTGGACATCGTTATGATGGTTTTATTGTGTTAGATTGTAATCCTTCTACGTATAACTATTATGTTGACCGTTGTGTTATGGCATGTTATTCTAGTAACAATGATGTTGATGTTATTACATGGCATGCACGATTAGGTCATATAGGGCAAGATCGAATTAATAGATTGGTTAAGGAAGGACATCTAGGTCCTTTCTCTAAAATTGAAATGCCAACTTGTGAAAATTATCTTGTTGGAAATATTACACGCAAACCATTTGGAAAGGCTAAGAGAGCTGATTTTTTCATTGCAATTAATCCATTCTGATATCTGTGGTCCAATGAATGTGAGGGCCAGGTTTGGTGCTTTATATTTTATTATGTTCATTGATGATTTCACACGCTTTGGTTATGTCTATCTGATCTCTCATAAATCTGAAGCACTTGAATGCTTTAAGAAATATGTGAATGAAGTTGAGAATCAAATAGACCAAAGGTTTAAGACCTTAAGAACCGATAGAGGGCGTGAATATCTTTCAAAAGAATTTGAGGGATATGTGCGAAAAAGGAATCACCAGACATTTAAATATTTCATACACACCTCAACAAAATAGTGTAGCAGAAAGAAGGAATAGAACACTAGTGGACATGATAAGGTCCATGATGGCGCAGGCAAATTTACCTATCTCCTTTTGGGGAGATGCGTTGTTGACTGCAACTTACATATTGGACAAAGTGCCTTCTAAATCAGTTTCTTCCACTCCTTATGAGCTATGGACTGGTCATAAACCAAACTTAAAGGATTTACGACCTTGGGGTTGTGTTGCATACGTAAAAGATTCTTTTAGTAAGTTTGGTAAATTAGGTCCAAAAGGAAAGAAATGTATCTTTATAAGATATTCAGAACACTCAAAAGGGTATGCGTTCATTGGTGAATTAGAGGATGGAAGTGTTACTGAGATTGAATCGCGAGATGTCATATTTTTGGAAAATGATTTTCCAAAGAAGGGCGAGGTAAAGAATGGAGAGCCTCTTTATGAAATGTTGAACTCAGATAGTCAGCAAGTGTCTTCTGACATAG